CCTGAGGTCAATCAGCCCCTGACCCCCTTCCGCCACAGGTAAAAACATCACAGCCGATCGAATCCAATGATATCCATCCCATAAAAAGTCCACCAGTGCCTTCTGTATCTGCTGAAGTATTTTGTCCGGAGGAACCAGAACGGTGGCTCGATGCCAGAGCATGGAAGCAGCTAGACTGTTGGCAACCAAAGTCCTCCCCCTGTATGACAACTGGGGCTGGACCCATGTCCATCTAGACAATCGGGCACCTATTTTCTCACCTATGCCCTCCCAGTTTTTTAGCTGAAAGTCCTCATTCCCCAGATAAACGCCTAGCACCTTCATCCCCTCTGTGCTCCACTGAAGCCCTGCTGGTAATGTCGGCTTCTCTTTATTTCTCCACTCTCCCAGTAAAAGACCCTCACATTTCGACCAGTTAACCTTGGCTGAAGAAGCTTGCTCGTATAATTTAAGATTTTGTTCCAGAGTCCTAACATCCTTTTGACAATTTATAAAAACTGTGATGTCGTCAGCATATGCTGACAACCTAACTGAAGAGTTACCTTTTTCTGCCAAGTTTAAACCGGATATATTTCTTCTGAGTTGATGTAAGAGCGGCTCAATAGCCAAAGTGTAGAGCATCCCAGAAAGTGGACATCCCTGCCTGATCCCTCTTTGTACTGAAACCGGTCTGCTGAGTCCCCCTCCCACCTTCAACAACACAGTGACCCCTGAGTACAACAAACCAATACATGAAATAAAAAAATTACCAAACCCAAATGCTTTCAGTGTTTTAAACAAATATTGATGGTCCACTCTATCAAATGCCTTTTCCTGGTCAAGAGAAAGCAAACCCAGATCTATTTCTTGAAATTTTGATAAGTCTATGACATCTCTAAGTAAAAACAGATTGTCCATTATTGTCCGGTCAGGGACACAGTACGTCTGGCTGGCGTCTACAATTGAGTCCATGTATTTCTTAAGTCTATTCGCCAGTACTTTGGCCAGTATTTTATAGTCAGTGCAGAGTAGAGATACCGGCCGCCAGTTCTGTAGTAGACCCAGGTCTCCTTTTTTTTGGCAGCAACGTCAGTACTGCCCTCTTACAGCTTGTTGGCAATATCCCAGAGTCCAAACATCCCTCGAATACGTCCATCAGGTCTCTTCCAATTACATTCCAGAATGTCTTATAAAATTCCGCTGGAAGCCCATCGACACCAGGCGCCCGACCACAGCTGAGCTGGCCCACCGCTGCAGACAGCTCCTGAAACTGCACCCTGGACTCCAAGGAGGCTGCCGACGCCTCCGCTAAACGAGGAAGTCCCTCCAGAATCTCCTCCACACGCTCTGGATCACACTCCTCCGCTCTAAACAGGCTGCTGTAAAAGTCTATAGCCAGCCTCCTCATTTCAGACGGGTCCCTGGTCACCGACCCATCGGATCTCTTAAGGTGCATCATCTGGTTATGTTGCCTGACCTTTCTTTCCAGCTTAAAAAAGAAACTAGTAGGTGAATCTATGTCTTTAAAGGATAGGATTCTTGATTTTATTAAAGCTCCTTTTGCTTTTTCATGTAAAAACCTGCTCAATGATGCCCTCTTCTCCTCCCAAGTCTTATCATTATTTGTGTCCACCCCATTAGCTATGCCCTCTTCCAATACATGAAGTTCCCTTTCCAATAACTCAACCTGATCCCTTTCTATTGCCCCTGTGTGTGATGTGTATTGCTGACAAAAAATTCTAATGTGTGTTTTTCCCACCTCCCACCATTGACCTATGCTTTCAAATTGTGACTTTCTGCTTTTCCACTGACCCCAGAAATCAGTGAAAGACTGACAGAAATTCTTATCATGGATTAGTCTTACGTTAAAATGCCAATAAGGAGATCTGTGAGTAGGCACCATCAAAGAAAAATTAACAGTTATTAAGTGATGGTCTGAAAAACCAACTGGGGATATATTGGCTGCAGTTAGCCTATTGCTACATGTGCTACTAACATAAATCCTGTCTAGTCTGGCTGCACTAACCCGGCCCTCTGTAACTTTCACCCAGGTATACTGTCTGGTATCTGGATGGAGTGTTCTCCAAACATCTACTAAACTATTCTCTTTGATTATTTTAGTTAAAAAAGAGGCTGATGATAAGTTGGGCTCTCTCCCATTCCTGTCCACTGCATGATTAGTCGTGCAGTTCCAGTCTCCTCCCACCACTACAACTGAGCTGCTACTGAACTGTTTTAATGTTTTGTTAAGTTTTTGTAATAGACTGATCCGGCTACCAGCAGAGGTATAAGCATACACATTAACAAATACAAAAGGCGTTTCTCTTATTGTAGCCTGCACTACCTGTATACGCCCCGGTTCTATCTCAGAAACTGTTACCTGTGATAGAACAATATGTTTTGCAAACAGAATGGATACACCTGCGCTCAGATTTGAGCCATGGCTCGGGAACCACGACCCCCCCCACCCTAAGGCCCAATCTGTGTTGTCTGCTGGAGTGCTATGTGTTTCCTGTAGGAACAACACATCTATCTTTTTTTCTAGTAGCCAGCTCAGATACTAAAGCCCTCTTATTCTTGTCTCTACCTCCATTGATGTTAAGACATCCTATTTTTAGACTCTCCATGGAGATATGGAAAAGGAGAAAAAGGGTACAGATTGAACCCAGCATTAACCAGTAGGAAGAAAACTTCACCATGTGACTATTCATGTTGAATCCTTCTCTTGGACCTTTTAACAGTTTTCCCTCTCTGAGCCTTCCTAAGGATTGCCAGATGTTTATTTAGACGGTAACGCTTTTTTTCGTCTAGGAGGTCATTGCTAACCAGCCTCTTTAGTATGGTTACAGATTTAATAAATTTATCTGTGTCCTCAAAGTATTCACCGACTTTCACAGATTTGTTAAATGTTTCATCCAGAAACTCATTAATTTCCTCTAAAGAATAGAGGTCAATCCTTTTGCTCGCCACTTCACTGATGGATGCTGTGTCTGACTCAGTCTCATATTCCATCTCATCAGCACATGAAATCTGACTACAGACTTCTCCCTGTCTTATGCCACTGGTACTTGCTCTGTCTTCAGTGCTTTCTACCTGTGTCTCAGTTACATTTTCTGCAGCCTCCTGCTGCTTCTCCACCTCAATCAGTTCAGTTTCCTCCGTTTCAACATTACATTCCTCCTCCACTTCAGCCTCCACAACAGCCACAGAGCTCCCAGCTTCAGACACGGGGCTTGCGACCACCGTGCTCGCGATCACCGGGCACGCGCCCACCAGGTCCCGAGCTACGGGCATCTGGCTCTCCGCCTCCGGACCCCCCGCGGCCGAAGCGCGCTCCGCGGGTGCAGCGCCGCTCGCGGACCCGGAAGCAGCAGAGCCACCTCCGTTATCCACCGTTTGCCCGTTTTGCTGCTGTTTGTGTGGACACGCTGCTCGTTTATGCCCGATATCTCCACAGTCAAAGCACTTCATGTGTCCCGAGCTGGCGTAAACCATGTATAGCCCATCACCGTGTTTCACGCGAAATGACACCTCCAGTGTCTGTGTTGGGGATTCCAGAAACATGAACACCTGCCGTCTCAGAGACTGCACATGCTTCAGTTTCTGGTCCTTACAACCCAAACTAACAGTCCGGAAACCGCTCGCCATTTTGCCGAACCTGCGGAGCTCGTTCTCCAGCAGCGCGTTCGGGATAAACGGCGGAACTCCGGATACTGTGATTCGGGTAGAAGGCACTGCTAACGGGCTAACCTGCACTAGCATCTCCCTCACAACCACTCCGGACTCAACCAGCTGATGGACGGTGGACTCGTCCTTCAAAAACACAACAACCGCCTTATTCATGCGCGAAGCATAACACAACTTACCATAACCTACCTGCTCTCCCACGGCTAACAAAACTTCCTCCACAGTTACAGTGGGTTCTGGAGGAACGATTCTGACACCCTGCCTGATAGAAGGAGCAGGCGCCTCGGCGGACGCCATGCCTCCTCACACACCCCTGTCTCACCAAACACTTACTTACCTAACACTCACACGAAAAAACCAAATTACTCTTACCTGACTTACCTGCTTTAGTGCATTCAGAACAGTTGGAAAGTTGTTTGAAACCGAAATACACAAGGAAAAGATCACCATTTGAAACTAGCGCCACTCTCAGTCTAAGTCCACGTCTACTACCTACGATCACACACCGGAAACGGAAATGGATAGATAGATAGATAGATAGATAGATAGATAGATAGATAGATA